GAGAGAGAGAGAGAGAGAGAGAGAGATTTAATTACTGAAAAATACCAAAACTGATAACGAAAAATAGTAAAAAGTTTTAATTAAAAATCTAATCAAGATTAAAATTATATTTAATAAGAATATAAATACCCCAAACTTTTGATTATACGTAAATCATATATAAACTATTGAAAAATTGCTATTAAATAATTACAGTTTTTAAAATTATGACTTATGGCAATATTAACACTGCATAAAACAATAAACTACACATGATTTATTATTTATAAAAATATAACTTTTATCTTGATTTATTAGTATTTTTATGACAACACAATATTACACATACAAAAACTTTTATCTCTCTATTATATTCTGTTGTTTAATACCAAACAACTGGTGACTAAAAAATTTCATAGCAATTGTTTTTTCAATATTTTTTTCATTTTAGTTAAGAAATGTAAGATATTTTTCAATTTATATTTTTTACAATATATTGATCTAGATTGAAGTTTAACCCACACTTAGGCAGTACTGGTTGGTGTGTGGGTAGGGGTGATGTGTAGGGGAGAACAGGTGTAATGATGTTTGAATAGAATATTAGTTTTATATTGATTTTTACATTAAAATATCTTAAATTTCATGATAATTCAAAATAAATCATCATGGAACTAATTTTTCTATGATTAAAAGGAAATTATGCAAAAAATAACCTGGATTAGGTAAAAATAACATAATGTAGGCTTAAAATCCATTTACTATTTTATGCATAAATTTTTAATAATATAAATATTAAAGCAATTACATACAAATTGTGCAATTCAATTGTACAAACTTACATTGTACATGTGATGTACAGTTTGCATTTAATAATAGAATACTTATTTGCTTAAATTTTTATATAATTTATTTTGCAATACAATAAATATCACACAAGACTTGTTACACAAGACTTGTACAAAACAAATCTATACCTAATAACATATGAATCAGTTTTATTTAACAAAAATGATGTAGGCGATTTTTCAATAGAAATCAATTATAATACAAATGGAAAATTCAAAAATTTTATTCAATTAAATACTACTTAAAGAATATTTTATATAAGGATTTGTAATTTATTAAATCAACTTACAATACTGTTATTTCATTTTCATAAGCTGATTAACATAATAAATGTAAAACATTAATAATTAATTACATTTTGGTATAGCATCTAACATTATAAGTCATTATAACATAACAATTTTATTATTCAAATATAAAACAAATAAAATTATAATACATAACATAAATCATATTTATAAAACTTTATGATAAGAATGAATAGATTTTTATAAACATTTTAAAATTTATTTAAAATGAAATTTATTGCTTGTTTATAAAGACTTTTTATCGCTATATTTATTATCTATATTCACACCAAAAATATTAAACAACAAAATCAAAAATCATGGAATTTTAAAGAATATTCTGTGATATGTAAGATATATAAGACATTTACTTTACTTTACATTTTGAAAGATATATACAGAATATTCTGTAAAATATATATTTGTTGAATAATTGATGGCATGAAAAGTGGTGTTGAATTGAATGTTAAATACAATACAAAATTTTGTGAACAAATACTTTAGATATAATATAAATATACTTCACTATAAAAGCCTTTTTAGGGTATATTTATTATATAAGTATTATCTAAAGATAATATAACATAGTTGTTATAAATCGATTTTAGTCTTACATAGATTTGTTTTGCTGACAAATTATCTTTATTGTTTTTGATTATGAAAATTACATAACTTGTATTTAAATTGGTTTTAATGTTTATTTTATATTAATACTATGTTTAATATTTATTTAAAATTAACGTATTAGTTCCCAAAACGATATGATAATATATTTATCTGCATAAATTGTGAAATATGCAATTAATTTTATTTTTATTGTAATAGAAGTTGTGTGAAAAGTAATATTTTAATCTATTTTAATTTAATATTAAAAACCATATTAATATTCTCAAATACTGTGCACTAGGAATAAAATTTAGCTTTATACTTGGACAAAAATGGGTGTGAAATTTAATATTATTATGATAAAATTATTATAAAATGTAATAACTAAACTATAGAATTTCTAATATATAAATTACAATAATCTAATTAAAATATTGTTTAACAAAGCTAAATTGACTAAAATTGTTTTACATGAATATTAAACAATTGTATATGGTGGAATTTTAATATAACTTAATTTTTAATTTAAACTTGTTGAACTTATTGAAATATTTTTAAGACAAAACTGTTAGACACATAGAAATGTATTTTTAAATTCACATGATTTTTATGCGAACGACAGGAGTATTGAATTACTTTAAACATATTTGTTTAGCCATAAAGTTGTCAATTGACAAAAATAAAACATGCTTAAAATAATACATAAATAACCGATTTAGTATAACTAATTTTTAGATACAGTCAATCACTGTTTTTATATTTGAAGTATAATGTTATTTATTTCAAGTCATATTAAATATTTAAAACAAATAAATATATAAATTAAAATATATTTTTAAATATTGTTTAAATTAATTATTGATTTAATTATATTTGTTGAGAGAGAGAGAGAGAGAGAGAGAGAGAGCGAGCGAGAGTTAACTGTATTCTGAGATTAAATACAATAAACTCATACAACAAATCACTCAAACAAACAGATCATCAAATAAATACACACAAAAAACAATAAAAACAGACAAAAAATCACAAATTCTGTGTCAAAAACACAGACAAAGAATTTGCAAACAAAAAATATTCGTTACAAAAAAGTTTTAATTAGTTTTTATTTGTCTCACTATTTGCAGGCATTGAACCGCTATTTACCCCAACATTGCTTATATCGTGTACTCAACCGTACAGTGAATTACATACACGTGTTTACACACAATCACTACAGGGTTACCGACTAATAACGGTAACCACATTCAATACACGCGCACACCTCTAAATGCCAATATCGGTGGCGGACAGTATTAAAATAATTAACACATCATTTATTAATCACCATAATTATATTAATGATAATATCGTTAACTATCATAATATAACAATGAATATAACCGACTATGATATGTCTATGGCCGCCGAACATGAGCTAGGTGGTTTTTACGATTTGGTTGGTAAAATATTATACGATTTCCGAGACCTCTACCTACCGGTTCACGGCTGGGTATCGGTGTTTGTTTGCCTGTTTGGCATTATAGCCAACATACTTAACATTATCGTTTTGACCAGGTACGTTCGTAAATGTATTTTTATCTTATTAATCATGGTAATTACGTTTACTGACCGTTCCAATATAAATTACATTTAATTCAGTAGACCGTACATGATAGATTTATTTTATTTATTTACTATAATGAATAGTACATTAACTCAATGTGATTGGCAACATTTATTATGCTGATAAATGTATTAATTTATAATTCATTATGGTCAACAAATGAGAGTTATTCTAGAGTTAATGTGTATTACTTGAACTAGAATAATTATTTTAAATGTTTCAATGTGATCATTATTTTATACTAATTATGATTAAAGATAGTAAACGAATATTAATTATTAAATATAATGAGCATTTTATTTTTATGCTAATTAAAACTAATAAAATAATAAAGTCTAGATAAAATTACACCCATTCAATGTCATTAATTAAATAATTAGTTTATTACACTGTAAATTAATAAATAGTGATTTTCTAAAATTATGTTGCCTAATATAATTATAAATAATTAACCTTATTTAGTGTACAAAACTTATTTCACCCACACAGAAAAGAAATGATTTCGCCAACAAATGCCATACTTACTGGACTGGCAGGTAAGTGGTCATAAAGTTTATAATTAATTAAACACTACATTTGTTTTAATTCTACCATCATAATAATTAAGATAATACACTAATGCCTAATCATTCTGTACAGTATTTATTAATATAAAGTTTATATTGACCTAAAACTTCAGCCTGTTGTTTACCCGGTAATACCATAATTAAATTATATAAAACCACTTATGCTAGTTTAAGTATATACTGTATATACAGTAGTGGACACTTGAGAACACCGGTAGCTACTATGGGCTGTATATAATGAATTAGGCAAATACATGTTATATGTAGGTTAATATTTGAATGTTTAATTAAGGTGGAAAATGTTTTGTGCAAATACTTTTGCACAGAATATTCCACAAAATTATTACATTAGAGAATTAATACAACAGAATATTCTTAACATCAAAACAACATATGCTTTAAATATTTACAAATATAAGTTAATAAATAAATATTTTTACAAAAAAACAACAACAATAGTAATAAACCACATATTTCTACCCTAACCTCCCGGTGATAACCCTATAGTTGCCGATATGCTTGTGATGACCACATACTTTCCGTACTCAATACACAATTTCATACGCTATGGACTGACCGAGAGCGAAAAATATAGCAAGGGTTGGGCTATTTTTACCTTGATACACGCACATTCATCCATAGTATCGCATACCATATCGATTTGGTTGACCGTAATTCTGGCCGTTTGGCGGTATATAGCCGTCAGGTATGTATGTCTGACCCACTGTCTGTCTATCCGTCTGTTATCTAATATAGTTTGACATTTATTTACCATGTAAATTAAAGCTATATTAAATTAACTTGATAAACCCAGCTGTCACTCAAATACATTGTATATGACTAGAGGTTAACATTAGTTTTCCTATTGTAATAATGTATTGATTTGATTGTAATAGTGATATATTATGCGTAAAATTGCCACTATTTTAATGTCATTAATTATATGTTATAAAAATGGTATTAATTAACTGAAAATATAAGATAAACATTATGATAAATTATCTAGAAATTGATTTTTTATACTAAACAATCATAATACATTATCAATCAATCATGGTGAATAATGTTTGCTATAGTCAGTATTTATAATAAATCATAATCTATTGGATTAATCAGAAATATCAATCACAATATTTATTGTTATAATAGGCAAGCTATATTATGATTAATTAGCAACATAAAATGTAGTAGACAACCAATGGTTACCCATATATTTAATATTGAACTATAACTTTATATACCTATTTGCTAATAAATTATTTATTTACAGTTTTCCCACCGACAGTAAACAGTGGTGCAATATGTCTCGGGCCAAGTGTGTGATCGTGTTCATTTACGTGGCATGTCCCATATTTTGTTTGCCCAACTATCTCACATTTACCATCAACACTTACTATGTGAACCACACCGATATGGACACGTATACGTACAAGGTAATTCAATTTGTTTTGCATATTTATCTAGATTATCTAATCATTGCGATGATTTATTGATAGATTTATTTTGTTGTTGTTTGCGTGTTAAGGTGCAAATATATTGATGTATGGTAAATTTGTGTACATAGATGTTTTGTCTGATTTATATCAATATATATTACGTGTTATTTATGTAAGAATAATAACGATATAAAGCTTTATATCTATGGCTACAGAACTCGCTCTCAATATATAAATTCAATAAATATTCTGCAAATTCTTACGTTAAAGTAAATTGAGTTTTAGAGAGAGAGAGAGAGAGAGAGAGAGCGAGAAAGAGAGAGAGAGAGAGAGAGAGAGATTTTAGTTGATTTCTATCATTAGAGAATTGTTTCACTTATAAAACATAATATTTATTGTGAAAAACGGAGAGAGAAATGAATAGCGAGTGAAGAGATGTGCAAAAAAAATCTGTAAACCATTGAAAACACTGATGAAATAAATTGGTTTTTCGTTATGAAACACAACAACCGATGCATATGTGTTGGTGAGAGAGTGTGCGGACCGGGAGGTGGGGTTTTGAGGCATGAAAAATATGATGATATGATGATCATATTTGTTACCTAACATAAACAGGTATATTATATACACGGCTTAAGCGCTAACAACTTTCATCAACTGTTTTATCGCAATTCATGCATCTGTTTAGCCATTCATAGCCCATAACAACAACGCTAGACATTTAGATGATCTCTCTCTCTCTCTCTCTCTCTCTCTCTCTCTCTCGGTCTGTCTTATAATTTAACAATAGATTTATAGACAGGATATCATACTTACAACAACACCGATATATCTAAACCATTTGTATTCATCACTAAATTTTTATTTTAAGATAAATGTTTCAAAAATATTTTATTTCTCATTTAAGTATTTGAAAAATCATTTTCATTTCAATTGAGAATAAATAACAAGAAAACCCATAGAAAATAATGAATTAAACGAGAGAAAGCACCTGGCTTTTAATAGCACCGGCTATTTATCATAAAGTATTGCAAATTCTTTGCTATTAAAACATGAATAAAATACAAGAACTTATAGAGAAAAAGCATATATAAAAACTATTTCAATCATAAACTCGTAAAATACTCTTTTAATGTCTAAACAGAGTCTTGAATTCATGCAAGTATTTGGTTATAAAATTACATTTTCTGAATATTTGTTGAATATCTATATATATTTAATGCCAAATATATTGTTAGACATGTATATCGTGTATATTGACTGCAATTCCCAGTTTAATATGTTATATAAGAAGTGTATTATAATATGTAATCTCCTAAAGCATATCGTGTATTGTATTACACTTACAACGCTATCGACCAAATAGTTTGTGTTTGTAATTATATTTTAAAATGCTTTTTGGCTTTTCGTCAATAAAAAATACATGTTTTACACGCGAGAGATGTATGGCATGTGTGGAAAGGGATGTTTGGCATCGGGAGGAGAGATGATGTGTCTAATGAATGAAAGTTATGGTATATTATATATACGGTTAGTGTACGCATACAGTAGTGTATTATACGGTTTAAAGTCACTGATATATCAAAGAAATATTTTAATACATTTTATAATAAAGTAGTGAATGGCATATCAAACACGAGAGAGAGAGAGAGAGAGAGAGAGAGAGAGAGAGAGAATATTAATATAAAAATTTGTAATGAAATTTTCATCCGACAAATAAGACATGAAATTAAATGATTAATTTTTTCAATCAAAACACACTGTCATTAGTATTACGGCAACAGTGAATAAAAGTGGTAAATTTTTCTTCACTCAATTTATTTAAATATCAATCAATTATTTTTATTACTTTTTAAAATTTTGTCGATTCAAACAGCAATTAATTAAAATACTTATAAATCTATATATAAAACATTGTAAAACAGTATAACAGACACAAAACATTAATAGTATTTAAGTGAATAAAACGGCGATTATTAGCCATAAAAACTAATGTTCAGTCGATTATAACAACCGTTGAATAAAGAAAAGAGACTTAAAATTATAACTTATATTTCATTGAAAGGTATTTTAGTTTTTTCTTTGGTTTCCATTCAATCACATGTTTTTAATCGACAAAAGTTTTTAAAAAGTATATATATTTTTATTATTGAAATGTTATTCAGATTTATTTGTCACGACTTATGAGAGTGTTTGCTGACGAGAGAGAGAGAGAGAGAGAGAGAGAGAATATTAATATGAAAATTTGCAATGAAATTTTCATCCGACAAATAAGACATGAAATTAAATGATTAGTTTTTTCAATCAAAACACACTGTCATTAGTATTAAGGCAACAGTGGATAAAAGTGATAAATTTTTCTTCACTCAATTCATTTAAATATCAATCAATTATTTTTATTACTTTTTAAAATTTTGTCGATTCAAACAGCAATTAATTAAAATACTTATAAATCTATATATAAAACATTGTAAAACAGTATAACAGACACAAAACATTAAACATAACGCAAGGGACAATCAAACCATGTAAAAATACCCGGATTTATATAAATTAGCATGTGTGTAGTTTTACCCCCTTGTACAGTGAGGTTCAAGCAGCAAGTCGACCAATCAGAGCAAAGTACGATTTGCGCTTTTATGCATTGCATTGAAACACTCAGAGCCAAATCAAAACAAAGCTTTACAGCGCAGGTTTCAGCTTATATT